AACAATATGTGAGAACACCCTCTTTTTGCTCTGTTTGTCCTCTGTTGCAGTAAAATAAACCAGTGCATCAGTGGCCGATAGGCCACTCTCTATGGTCGGCAGGTGGCCGACAGAGCATGGCCGGCAAGCTTTACTAGTGGCCGGCTAGCCACTGATGCAAACCTCAGCAGAGTATTGGTAAGGTAAAGCAAAATTGTTTTGGAAGTGTTCAATTGTGCAAACAGAGGCTTTCGAGAGCAAAGCGGAGGTCTTTTCGGGTGAAAACTGAGCATGCGCGTACACATCTTTCATTTCTCGAGGCGGAACAACAAATTAGCTTAGTTTAATTACTTAGTTAAATTAGTAGTTGCAATTGTTTTGTAATTATTTAATTAGTTAGTTGGCTAATTAGTTCATTTGTTGTTGTAATAATTAGTTAATTAGTTTAGCAAGTTCTTTATTTTGGCTTATAATAATTAGCTTAATTAGTTTAGCCTAATTAGCTCAGCTTAGCTTTACTTATTCGGATTCTCCTTCGTGAGAGCATGATGTAATAATGTGTATGTCTTCCAACCCCACGTCTTTCTCCCTTTTACTTAACCGCTTTTGACGGTTAGTTTAGGAGCATCACGTTTCAATTAGCATACATTATGCTTGCATCCATCCATTTTGTATTGCATGCATCGAGGCTCGGCACATCATTCCAACTGCATCGTCATTTCAATACTTCTTTGAATACGTGTTTAATCGCATGTTATCAAATCGATTCATATGCCATATTAGTAGTCGAGCCTATTAATTGCATATCGCATGTGTTGCATTAGTCATCTTGTATAGTTAGGAATCATGCATTTTCTCTAACTCTTTTGTTTTATCTTAGCTTGGAGTACTAGGTGAGTTTTTTAACGCTTTAGCATACTTGCATGAGTGTGAGTGATTGCCATGTCTAGCATGCTTACCATGAGGCTAAATGCTTATTTGCTACACTGTTTGAATGTCTGTGGATGAAGGCTTAATGCTTGAATTGGAACGATTCAACAAATGTACCTTTTAAGCCCACTTTTTTGAGTGGCAAATCAGCTTTAAGCCCACTTTGTTGAGTGGCAAATTTGCAAACTTTAAGCCCACTTGAGGTGGCAAATTCAAATCCTTTTTCGCAAAACAAACATGAAATTAAATTGTTCCAATTCTTGCAATTTTAGTCTATACTTGCTTGTGCGCATCACATAGTAATGCTAGACTAATAAACTGAAACAAGAGTATATAATGTTGATAAAAATCATATCATGATTAGTAGAGGCCGATCTTCGATTGGGCGAGCGGGGGTGCTTAATTCATGACCTTCCCCTCTCGTACGCAAGTTCCCGAGCCGAGGCAACTTTGGTGATGACGAACACGTGGCCTTTGGCACGAATCATGGGTTTCCTAAATTTGTCTAAATAAAATATTTTGGTGGCGACTCTGTATTTGGCAAAGTAGTCCAATTTTTGCATTTTTGATCCAAAAATCAATTTTCTAAACGATTTGCCGGATTTGGACTTTTTGATGTTTATCAATTTCACATTGCACTTTTGAATTAGATTCAAAACTGCGGGAGTCCGAACTGTAAGGCTTCTTCCGAGCTTCCGAAAGAGGGGGCAAAAAAGCCGAGCTACAGTAGGAGAAGAGGAAAAAAAATTACTCGCACATGGGGGGTGCAAGTATATCTATGGTGGGGTGCAAATGAAAAACTGTGGGGGTGCAAGCCCTCTATGTATTGGTTATTCTTTTTCCCTTCTCTCACTTGCCTGTAGTTCCCCCAATATTTTAACCTAAAAATTTTATCAATTAAGCTCTAAAATTATATGAATTAAACTCAAATTATGGGAGCTCTATTCGCACAAGAAAAAATTTCAATTACACCATTTTTTGTTATATTCAATATATATTTTGATTCAATAGTTGAAATATGAGAAAAATGGTGTGAACTAGAAAACAAAACAAAACAAAACAAAAAAAAAACCACAAATTGAAGCTCCCTCAAATTAGAGCGTTGCTAATAGCACCCAAATTCTTCTTTGGACCCCACATATTTTTTAGAGAGTAAAAAAATTATTGAAATTTTATCTTAGAATTTCAAAATATTACCTTTATTATTAACCTTTCAAACTCTAGCCCTAATCCCTCTTACCCCTACCTACAATCTCCAACATTACCAGCTTCGACCACCACTGTCCATTTCCTTTCCATATCCGACCACTACACCCAACCCCCTCTCCATCCTTCCTCAAGTCTTTTCAACTTGAATGCCATTTCTTAATCTTTTCATATCTCTGATTGCCATCCTTCAACCCCTCTACACCTTCTGGTACCCTTTCATAGCCCCCTCGCCACCTACCAAACCCCTTCACCCTCCCTACAATTGTCTCTTTCCCTTACGATTCCCTCTCTTTTTGTTCACTACTATGTGTCTCTCTCTGCTCATGATTCTCTCTCTTATTATCTTCTTGTTATGGTTGGTAATAGCGAAGGAGAGGGAAAGAGTTGTGTGGTATCAGAAGGCTAGGGAAAAACTGACGTGACAACAAAGGTTGTGAGTGATGGAAGGGTTTGGGAAGGATTGGAAGTATTTCAAGGCCATTTTTAGAGGGTGGAGAGATATTGGGAGATGGTTGTGTAAAATGCCACTCAATCCTTTAAAACCACGCCTACCCACATCAATCCATCTACTAACCGTAGATTAAATTTTAAAATTTATAATCCACCTTCAAAACTGCTCTACTGCGCTCCGCTATAGTTAATACATATATATATAATCTCAAATGAAATATCCAAGTAAAAATGAGTGTGTGAAAGATTTAAGATGTAAAATTTGTTACAAATTAATAGTTATATATATGAAAAATATTATGTAAATTAGTGTTATATATTATGCAAATACTTGATAATTGTTTAAGAATATTCTTCGATCAATTAGCAAACTGAAACCGACCCAAGTCACGATTTGGTTATTTTATTAATTCGTCATTTATGATTTAGTTTATAATTTTACTCTCAAATGATTTGAATCGCATCGCTCACACTCGTAGTTAGGGTTGGAATCTTGTGTTAGTGAAGGATAGCTAAAGCTATAAGTGGGGTAGAGGTGTAAATTGGGCCCAGCCCGACCTGGCCCAAGCTCGAGCCAACCTATGGGCCATTCAAGCTCCTGCCAAAATTTGGGTCGGGTTGAGCCAGCCCAAAAAATTAGGCCCAGGCCTAGGCCCGGGCATAGGCCTATGAGGTATTCAAGCCGACGGGCTGAGCGAGCAAGCCTAGGCTCAGGCTTAGGCCAGGCGTAAACATTTTTTTTTTCCTACTAAAAATGACACTAGGCCTTGGGCGGGTCAGGCCTTGAATCGGGCTTTGAGTGAGCCTTGAACAGGCAAGGCGGGCTGGGCTGGGCTTCAAAATGACGGCTTAGGCCTAGGGTCCTTGGTTGGGCTCGAGCCTAGGCCTAAGCGAGCTGAGCCCACCCCGGGCCTAAGCGAGTTGGGCTCATCTCGGGTTGTGAAAATTTTGATAAAATTTAAAATTAAGGGGACTTAAGAACCGGTCCTATTGACCAAATTTATTTACCTGTAAGTCCTCTTCATTTTTTCACCTCTTAATATCCCCAAAATACCCTTCCTACACTTCCTTCATTTTTTTTTTCTTTCCTTCCAATCCCGCAGTGCCACGTGGCACTGGGGGTCACTGGGGGTGGCTTTTACTGGGGGTCTCGCGCATTTCTGTATCCCCAAAATACCCTTCCTACACTTCCTTCAACAACTCAATCATCAAATCACTGTCATGACCTACGACCTCCCACTTCTAGCCATCGACAAGTACTTTCAACCGCCGATGATAACCTCCGACAACCTTTGACGATCACCTCCGGCAACCTCTGGCACTCACTACTGTTACTATCTCCTAAGATCTGATGGCGACAAGAGAATAATAATAATAATAATAATAATAATAACAATAATGAGAGTGAGAGAGAGAGAGAGAGAGAGAGAAGATGAAGAGGAAAAGGAAAAGGAAAAGAAAAGGCCTTTGTAGAAAATTGTTAGCCTTCGTGTCGTAGATCAACATAACCATTCCTTTATCATCTGCTCTTTATCATCTTTCTAGTGATAAATTTATCACTGATAGATTGACCCATCCAATATATTCACATCTATAATGACAAATCAATGATAAATTCATCATTGTATAAATATAAAATTATCAATGAGAATTGTGGTATTTTTCTAGAGAGAGAGAGAGATGAGAAAGAAGAAGAGTTTTGGAAAAATGATCAAGAGAGAAGTTAATACAAATTGAAAAACTTATTGAGTAATAAATAGTATAAAAGATTTAAAAAGCGTTTGGGATGATTTAAATAGGGATTTTAACCAGCTGGTAGCAAGGGTAAAATCAGAATAAAAAAATAAAATAAGACTTCTTAGTGCATGAGATAGAAATTTAGAACCTAATGAGTAATAGATTCAATTATTGGGACAGGTTAGTAAAAATCGCTTAAAATTAATTGGTTGAAGTTGTAAAGAAATTAGGATGGTTTGGGATGATCTAAATAAGTATACTTTTTGACTTTTTAAGAAATATGATTTCAGTATAGATTGGATTTGAAGTGATGTGATAGAGAAGTGATGTGACTTAAATAAGATAATATAACTTAAATAAGATAATTACTTTTTAACTTCTTAATTTTTTTTAAATTATGACAAATAAGACCTAAGTGTATTGTCCCAGCAGCAACCCTCAAATTACATTCGTAAGAGCACACGATTCAATAGTGAGGCTGATACACACGTGCGGGTGAAATGCATTTAAAAGCACGGCTTATAGGAACAGCTGCCAAACGTTGACTCTGTCTTCAGTCAAAAGCAGAACACCACCGGTTCCAACTTCCCATGTCAAAGTTGGCGTGTGGAATGCATGCACATCTATCTCTCTCTCTCTCTCTCTCTCTCTCTCTCTCTCTCTCTATATATATATATATATAATATATGATCATTGTTTACTCTTTCTCACTCCTTAAAATCATCTTCTTTTTTCTCTTTCTTTCTATTTTGATTTATTCCTCCACAATTTACCTACTACTTGTTCATCTCTCCCTTTGATTCCTCCCTTTTCTCTGTTTCTCTCTCTTTGTTTTTGGTATTCGCCATTCTCGCCTTAACCTCCTGCTGGACGCTGCATCTAAAGGTATACTTACATGTTTCTTTTTTCTATATATGCATATATATATACACATGTATATCTGTACGTGTCTGTAGATATATTGTGTTCTGATTATTACTATCATCTCTCAGTTATTTTGATGTGGGTTCTTGTCAATTATTGGATATTCTTAAGTTCTAGACGGTTCTATACATGAATATTCACTGTTTTTATTGTTCATAAATATGCATAGTGTTTTGATGTTCAAGTCTGGAATTGTGAACCCTTTGTTGTATGGAAAACGAATTTTTGCCTCAAATAATAATAATAATAATATTTTTTTAAAAAAAAAAATTGGTTACTCTTAAAGCATAGGTTTAAAGTAGTTGGGATGTGGGTCTCAAATGATTGAGGTCATACTTTTCGAGTTAACTTCTTTAGTTACATAGCATTATTTATTTTCGTTGTATGTATGATTAGTGTTACAGACTAACAAAATAGTTTTGGATAGAATCGAGTAAAAAAAAAAGAATTCATGCAACCAATCTCATTTGATGGGACTTAAAGTTTAATTTGGTTGGTTGATATATGATTTGTGTTACGATCCCACATCATCCCCTTGCAATCGGTTCCCTTGCAAGTTAGTTTTTTTAGAGTGTTCTACTTAAAGATTCATGTTATTTGGTATCAAACCCAATATCAACCATCTCGTTGAGTATAGGATCATTGGATGAACTAAACCTTTGTGGTTCGAGACGTAGAGGGAATAGCCTATAGGTTGGATTAAGATGCTAAGATGTCGAATATTGAGTAGTTAAGTGAAATTGTTAAAAGAGAACATGATCGGTTAAGTGTCGAATATTAATAATTAAGTAAAGCTACAAAAGGAAAAAGACTGATATTGCATTTAGCTAGTTAGGGCGTGTTCCAAGGATTTTGGTTAGGATTGATGATTACGTTTAATAAAAACAGTCCTGGAATTATTGGTTTTAAAAAAGTCAAAATGGTTTAGTTTTTTTTGAACAATTTGCAGTGAAGACTGCTTATATTTGAGGGCAATGATTCAAAAAACTTAGAGCTCAAACTTTAACTGCACACAAATTGTGTCATGCCACTCTTCTAACTCAATGAAATCTCAAGCTTTTTGAATCATCAACCTATGTTTTACATTTTTCCATTAGGAATTTTGTCTAGGAAATTGTAAATACTCGGAAATTTTTTGTTGAAATATTTATTACTATTTAAGTAGAGTTCTTGCATTTCATGATTACATATTTGGTGGATCTTGAAAAGCTCTAATTTTTTTTTTTTATAAAAAAATCATGAAATACTTTATGACTTTTTTTTTTTTTTTTTTTTTTTTTTTTTATTTATTGTTTGCTAACTCTGTTGTTATGTAATGCTCTAATTGAATTTTTTTTTTACTTTTTCATATTTTAATCCTTAACTACATGCTTCATATTGCACTCTTAGCCTTTCTATTAGCGACTATCATTTTAACGCTTTCTTTTCTCTTTGTAGGTCATCGAGCTTGCACAAAATGGTTTTTTTCTTCAAAAACATAGCCGAGGAGTCCGAAGCTTCTTTGGAACAGGACATTACTAAGTGCCCTTTCTTGCAGAACATCAATGAGCCCACTAGTTTCTCCTTCTCCTCATCAATGGCTTTCCCAATGCCTGTAAGTTGTACAATCTATTAATGACTTGTGTGGTTTGATCCCTTCACTTGTGCACCCATACTCATTACATAAACCATTTTCTCAAGATTTTTTCTTCTTTTCCAACTCAGGTACTAGGAGCTAAAGGTCCGATTTTCGAGGATGGTCCAAATTTCGACTTGGCATTCAGTGTTTTCCATGGCCAAAATGGTGTTGTCCCGCTTTCTAGAAGATCAACCATGCATTCTGAGAAGTTAGTATCTGAACCAGCGACGCCTCAATTTTGTCCTTTAGCAGCGAAGGCAGCCACCATTAGTCTCTCAGCTTTTGGACCCGGAGGCCCCTTTGGCTTCGATGCATTTTCTCAGAAATTGAAGAATCAGCAAAGAAAATCCAATCCATCCAAGAAAGAAACTTCTTCACAGGTAATAGCATGACTACCAATCTAAAACCTAGCAACAGAGTTCAAAATTTTCGCTTCCTAAACATAATGTTTTAATTTTTTAGGGAGGAGAATCGATGCACGAGGCAACAAGCAACGAGTGGTTAGAAACAGGGAATTGTCCGATAGCAAAGTCATACCGGGCAGTGAGTCACGTCCTCCCACTTGTGGCAAAGGCTCTTCAACCACCTCCAGGCATGAAATTCAAGTGCCCACCAGCCATTATTGCAGCCCGGGCAGCTCTTTCACGAACCGCCTTTGCAAAAACACTCCGACCCCAACCCCTCCCCTCAAAAATTCTCGTGATTGGAGTACTGGGCATGGCTGCAAACATTCCGTTAGGGATTTGGAGGGAACACACTCGGAAATTTTCGCCATCATGGTTTGCAGCTGTCCATGCAGCTGTTCCATTCATTGCTATGATTAGGAAGTCCGTGTTGATGCCTAAGACCGCTATGGCGCTTACCATTGCAGCATCGGTATTGGGACAGGTTATCGGATCTAGGGCAGAGCGACAACGGTTGGAGGCAGTTGCTGCAAGAAAATTACCTCTTACAGAAACTTCAGTTGGTTGTTCTAGTCAGTCACAAGTTCCTCTTTCACATGATAGGGCCATCATTATCGGCTGAAAATGTGTGCTACTGCTAACATTTTAGTAGTCTGTGAGATATTGTATCATACAGTGTTTTGCAAAGTAATTGCTTTCATTTTTTATTTCCATTTTGGCCATTTGAAAGACCTGATGTCAGGAATTGAAGGAAAATACATGGAGATCGAATATTCTTTTAACTGCTGTGTGCATTTTTTTTTTCCTTTTTTTTTCACCTTTGATCTGGGTTTCGGCTAGGCCTATTAGGATTATACGCTTGAGTTTTGAATTTGTCAAGGGTAAGGCAAATGAATTTACATGTATGTTTTTATTTATTTTTAGTAATTAAACAAAAAATGATTTTTATAGATTATCATTTTTCTATCTTCTCATTTTCCTGATCAAACCAAATAATAATAATAATAATAATTTCTTTTCTTTTCTTATCATTTCCTGTTCCTTTCATTTTTCATTGGATCCAAACACAATATAGTCTGGCAAAAGATTGGTTCATAGAAGTGATATCCAACAGAGAGTTTGTGAAGTTAATTGTGGGAAAGTGCTGACATATAGCAATGGTATCTCATTATTCTTATTTCAACCTTCTAGAGTTGACATTTTGGGTTTCTCTTTTCCCATTTTCCCTCCCGAAGAAAGTCTCTTACTATCATCTATCTGCTAATTTGAAAACAAATTATAAAAGTGAATCTAATCAAATCTAAAACACGAAAAAAAAAAAAAAAATTTATATGAGACTTTAAATGGTGAAATAAATATTTATTTCGTCGTTCACAAAGAGCATTTTTGTCCTCGGAAGTCATTTTCATTCCCAGTCATTTTCATTGATTCTAAATAGGAATCCTTCTGTTACTTAGATCAAACAAATCTTGTAAAACAGCTAAATTGGAATCCTTCCGTCACTTGGATCAAGTAAAAACTGTAGTCTCATTTCAAGCAATTTTCATTGCCTAAGATTTAGAGTTACGCTAACACACGATCCATGCTTACTACAAAAAGTTAAAATCAAGGATGAAATTGGGGGCTTAAAACATGGCTTTGATGTGACTACAGAAAATGACAACAAATCAATTCAGATTAGAATAGCCATTCACAGGTTCCATAAGCAACTTCATGAGATACTAAACTTTTTCAATAATAAATTTACAACAGAATCCCACAATTAGTGCCCTTCTTCTAAACAATATTAACATGATTGAGCTACCTGGGAATCAATCGTGTGGGTGTGAGCATCTCATCATCAAACCACAGATCTTGGAATTCACTGTTACTTGACTCCACTTGCTCGCTCCAAAATGCGCACACCCCGTGTTCACCTCCCTGCAACCCACAACTACAAAAACACGGGTGCCTCAGTAGAGCACATGAGTGCACCCACTGGTTGCAAAGTCAGAATAAGTGACTAGGAAGAGTATAACTAAAATAACTCCAGAATAACATCGTTCAAAAATGACAGATCTTATTATAAAACATTTGAAACTAGTATCTTGTTTGTAAAGACACATGTAGTGCGCAACACTTACAATTGATTCTATGAAAAAGTGACGATAGCAACTAACAGACCCAAGCCCGCACAAGAATAATCAAACACACAGGTTCCAAAAGCCAACCTTGGAAGAGCCAATCGATATCATTATGCAGACTAAAAAATAGATAATAAATTGATGTCCCTACAAAACTTGACCCTTCTACAGGTTAAGACAGTTGAGATGCTTCAAGAAAACAAGTTGGTTTCAATGTTCTCATTATTAAAATCAAACATCAAAGCCACGGATGGCTTTCTAACATAGTAGAGATAGTCAAACATGCAGAAGAGGCGAATGGATTGTAAACCAGATAAATGCATCAGAATCTTAATTTAGCCACCAGTCGCAAACTTTTCAAGATTATTTTGTCTATTTCCATCAATACAACAAATACAAAAGCTTGCTGCAATATTACAAAGCATCTAGAAAATTTTTTTAAACCAAAAAAAAACGGATATTGAACCATTCGATTGCCCTATCAAACTCTGTTGCATTGAAAGTTAACAAAACTATTATACCAAGATGGCAAAGAGAGTCAGATGCAGCGATATCTTCAAGAGGCCCTCTCTACACACACTACCTTGCCTATATCCCTTACCTCTCCCACGATTCCTCCTCCTCTGATAATGTAGCTAGTCCTTGCCCAATTGTATTGTTCAGTTTTTGCCATAATGCAATATATTTAGTGAGGCCACAGGGTCTGAAATGCCACTTGCGCGCTCCCCAAACAAGCATCCCTCCTCTCCCACAACAATTGATACCAACATCCCCCTAAGCCTGTTGTTGTTATACTTGAGACAGCCTCGATCCATTTCCGTCTTTGCATCTCAAAGAGAATAACATGTCTGGCCGCTGCTGCTTCATATCAAACTGCAAATGGCTGCAACTCAAGTAGTACCCTCTCGATTCTTGTACAACTGATATTGCCTGCACTCCATTGCTGCCTACTCATATCCCTACTAGAGAAAACCGATACACCATTTAATTAACTCATTACTACTCTTACAACAGAACATGCAATGGCTGCTGCTCTGCATTGGACAACGTAGAGTACCATTACAAATGCAGCACGGATATTTTGCCAGAAGATGGCAGAGTCGGAACCATTAAGAAAATCCAAGTACAGCACTAATTCTATTTCCATCCAACACCGTAACTCCCTCAGGAACATTCTCAGTCCAGATCAATTATTCCGGTCAAACTTTGATGAAAGTTGAATTTGCATCTAAGCGTGGTTCCAAGTGATTTAGAGATTGGAATTCCTTGCTGCGACTATAGGATGTTGAACCCTTATCTTCATTTCCTGGTATCACTAGTAGTAATTCTGTGTTCTGACTGAGATGCCGGGTGGTCAAAATCTGACCATAACAGTTTCACATCACCATTTCTGCATGGGTTTTCTGTATCTGATGACTAATGAATGAGGCCTAGAATGTTGCTTTTTCCTGGTCTTGGGACAGGAATGGAAGCTAGCCACTGAGCTCCGACTTTTTGAACTTTTACATTTTGAAGCCAATAAAATCAGATGAAAATTCCCCTTCAGCCTTTGAGAGAAAAAAACCATTGAAGTGAAGCCAGTTTCCTGGAGTGAATATCCCATTCATCTCTTTCTTGGCTGACAACTTGCTAAATGGTATCCTGAGAATTTGACCGGATTCGGCAC